AAGAGAGACTGCTCGTAGTCTACTGGTGACGGGTAATTATCAAAGCCCGGTCCTTCCAGCTGCTTTGTGAGCCCGCGTTCCTTGCCCCACACTAAAAGTCCAGAGAGGTTTCCGTTAACGTGGAGCATAAGCTCCCCCCCCCCCACNGATTCCATACAAAAAGGAAGGGGGTGCTCGTCGCATCCCCGCCCTTTTCATATGGGGAATCACCCCCCGGGGACATAAGAGTGCCTCGTAGCAATCCCGATCGACAGATTAGTTACCACTGCATGGCAACATGAACAACCGGAAATACGTCTGCCCTGATACGGCCCAGTGACTTCAGGTCAAAAGCTAAATAATCAGGTGACTACGTACACTAAAGAACACACTGTTTATTTTAATTTTTCTCTCCCCTCGTAAGTTCGCTCGCGATGGCTCAGTACAAGTTAACTTACTTTCAACTTCGTGGAAAAGCTGAAGCCATTCGAATGACTTTCTCTGTCGCTGGCGTTGAGTTCGAGGACGTGCGAGTTTCTATAGACGACTGGGTGTCGAAGCTTAAGCATTATGAGTATACAGCTCTATATTGGTTAATCTTGCACAACCCTATTGTTTTCGCCGATTTAAACAGCGAAGAGTTTAGTTTAGGTTCAGATCAGTTTCTCTGCAGAAAGTCTTCGCATGCATGTGGTTTTATCTGCCCTCATCTCCTGTGGGTGTACCTCTGGGTGGACGGTAGAACAGACCTATTACTGATCGCATACGATGTATCACGTAAGCTACTTTAGTGGTCTAAAATCCCGGGGGAGACTCCTCCCATATGAAAAGGTCGCGGATGTTCGTCGCCTCGCTTAGGGGTATAAATCAAGGATTCTGGTCTTCCTTGGGGTCTTCATGACGAAACGACACTATTTTTAGCTGTCAAAGTATCTTTGAGCCTGCACTCGAAGAAGTAAAAGTAAAAATATGCTCTTATTTCTTTTTCTAGGCTCGATTTTCCAAAGGTCCCTCGAGTCTGATCTACTAGTGCCGGCTCCTTTCCTGAACAGAGGCTGGTAATCAAGCCTGTTCGTTGTAAGTGGGTTTTGGGGGTCGAATGAAGCTCGAGCCACGCCTCGATTGGTCTTCTTTTGGGGTTTAATCCAAGTTTTCCGGCGATCATTCTTTCCAGCGACCTTTTCAAATGAAAGTTCCTTTTCAAATATTTACTTATATTAGAATACAGAATTTTGCACGAGTAAACATAACTAAGCTCGGCTAAGGGTCAGCGAACATTCTTTTGTTCCTGACTCCTAGAACAGCCGAAACAACATCATGAGATCCGAACGATCTTATTTATTCTGATGACACAGTGCCACATTGCTTAAATACAAGCCGTTGTAATGAATTGTTCTGGAGAAAGTGGCTTTTCAAGTGTAAACGATTTTACCTCCAGATAATATCTTTACATGGTTGCGTGACTGAGAACAATTGGAAATTCCTTTGACAAAAGGTTCGCTCCGGTACACAGCTCGTTAAAGGAACTCAGTCACACCATTTTGAATTATTCTGGCCACGT